GGGGTGATTTCTCGCTTTCTGTCTGTCTGGCGAGCGCACGCGCCCTATAGCAAAAAAACCTCTCCAAAAAAAAAAAAAAAGATCCTGAGAGGAGAACGGAGAAGGGATTGTGGCGTGGCCATCACCCTGGGGGGTGATTTCTCACTTTCTGTCTCTCTGTCTCTCTCTGTCTGTCTGGTGAGCGCACGCACCCTGTAGCAAAAATCTCTCCAAAAATAAAAAGGAGACTGATATCAAGATCTCAGCCTGAGGGATGGGGATGACATGGCACAGTGGCAAAGCAATTGGACCCACGGGAGAAGGTCCTGCTCACGTCCTGCAGCCTCCCTCCAGTCACCAAGTGTGCGTGTATGTGCCTGTGAGCCTGGTCGGCTGAGGCAAGGGTGTGCATCATGGCATGAAGACCCTGTTGAGGGTACCTTTCTCTCTATCTATCATGGAGAAATAAATAAACTTAAGGTCAAGCCTGTGGAGTGGTAGGTAAAGTGACTGGATCCCTCATAACCAACTGTGTAGTTCGAGTCTCAAGCCTGGCAACTCAAAAGTATGCCAGGCATGTGTGTGTGCATGCCCAAAATCCCAAAAGGAGAAATGGAGGAAAACGGCTTGTGGTGCGATCATTCCCCATGGGGGGGCGGGGGGGGAGGTTCTTTCTCCCTTTCTCTCTCTCCCTCACTCTGTCTCTCTCCATTGAGCACATGCATCCTTTGGCAAATTAAAAATAAACGAACTTTTAAAAAGATGTCAGTTGGGGCTACAAGTCATCTGAGAGCGTGGCTGAGGCTTACAGATCAATTTTCAGACATCTCACCCACATGGCTGTTCGCAAGAAGCCTCAGTTGCTCACCACGTGGTCTTCCCAAAGTGTGCTTGAGTATTCTTGCGTATTCTTGTGAAATGTCACCTGGCTTCCCCAGAATGAGAGGCCCGCGAGCCTAGAAGTAGCAATGCCTTTTATAACTTGTTTGCGGAAGCTGAACAAGGCCGGCAGTGGCATGGTGGTTATGGTGGTCGGATCCCATGTGGGATCCTGGACCCACTGTTGAGAATCACACTGGGTATGCATGCACCAAATCCAGAGGGGAGAATGGAGGAAAGGGGATTGTGGTGTGGCCAGCCCCCCTGGGGCAAGTGATTTCTCACTTCCTCTCTCTTTTTCTGGTGAGCACACACACCTTACAGCAAATAAAAACAAAACAAAACAAACTTTGTCACTCCCATCACATTCTGTTAGTTAGAGGTAAGTCGCTAAGCACTACCTATCACAAGAAGAGAGATTAGGCTCACTCTTTAGAATACAAGAGTATCGGGGGTGGCAGATGGCATGGTGGTTAAGGGAGCTGACTCCCAGATGGCGGACCATGGTTCAAGTCCTGGACTTGGTGGTTTGCTTGCTCTCTCTCTCGCTCTCTCTCTCCCCTCTCTTCTTCTCTTTCTCTCTCTCTCTTCGCTCTCTCTCACTGTCTGGTCAAATTAAAGTAAGTAAATAAATAAATAATGGAATAATTACTTAAAAAAAAAAAAAGAATATCAAAGAATGTGTGGTCCTCTTTTACGAGCAGCGCAGAGTCCCTCTTCGTTTTCAGGGCTAACTCTTCCACCTGTGAGCACGAGCCCACCTTTCCTCCTGCCCGTGGCTAACCCATCACGGCCTCCCTTAGTCTCTCAGTAGAAGATCCCGTTCACTGAGCATGTCATATGTTCTGGTCACTGTGCCAAGCACCTTGTGGATAATCTCAGTACAGACTGAAACTCCACCAGGTAGGAAATGACCTCACTTTCACAAAGGAGACCAAGGCTCAGAAGGTTTAAGGGAGCTGTCCTGCACACATGATTAGTAAGGAGGAAAGTTACTACTTAAACCGAGCCCTGACCCCATAGCCACAGCCCCCTCTGCTAACCTAGTCTACATTGCTTCATAGGTACCTTTCCTTTTTTCCAAGGAGGGCTTAAAAAAATAATTCTTTCTTCCATGAGTGACAAAGAGTGAGACAGAGAGACAGTACCCTCCAAAGGGTCTTGATGCCACAATCCACCCTGGCCCTGATCACAGGCTTGTGCATCCCTAGGACACCCGGGAGGTCTCTGGACATAAACCCAGAACCTTCCTGCGTGGATCAGCCCTGCATTCTATCGTTGTACCACTGTCTCGCCCTCATATACAACTTCGGTCTCCATTCTCTAGCAGCTTCTCCTTAGCCTTCAAATAGGCTCAAGCTGTCCTCATACAAAAGTGACCTTCCCTGAAGTCCGGCTGCACCTCCAGCTCCATTTTCCCACACTGCAGATCCTCGCGATAGCCGTCTGCACGCCGTCGGCTCCCACCCCAGCCATCTGCTGCACCTCCGCCATTGGCGCCGCACTTACCATCTGATGACGCGCCCTCTGTGCAAGGCCGCCAGTTCTTCTAATTTCCAAGACCGGTGCTTTGTTTTCCACCCACAGGCTGATGTGGTTCGTCAAGTCTAAGGCGTTCCGTGTGCACCATTTCTGAAACTGGGAGGCCTTCGAATCAATGGCACGTTGGATTCGATTCAGCAGTCATTTATTGGTCATTAAATTTCATCCTGCAGTTCAGTTCCTTTTCCTGAAAACTCTCCTCTTCTGTGCCATAGACATTCTCGTGGGCGGGCCTTCCTGCTTCCTCTCTGATGACTCTCCTCAGTCTGGTTCCTCACAGAACTCGGAGAGGTGGGTGGGCAGTGTGGTGGCCAGCCAGCTCTGACCTCCGTACCCCTCGTCCTCGTCCCAGCCTTCATTTCCGGGAAGGACATTCTAAAACTGTATGAGACACACAGAACATTCCTTTCTTCCTGTATTAAAAAAAAAAAAAGTAACAGGAACCAGCAGGTAGCATGGTTGTTAAGGTGCTGGACTTTCTCATGACAGACCATGGTTCGAAACCTGGATCTGATGGTTTAAAAATTGCACCAGGTGCATGTGCGTGTGTGCCCAAATCTCAGGAGGACAATGGAGAAGAGGTTGCAGTGTGGCCATCCATCTCCAGGTGTGATTTTCCACCTTCCCTCTCACTATCTTCCTGTTGCTTTTTAGTCAGTGCACATGCCCTACAGCAAACCCTAATCTCTCTCCCCCAAAAAAAGTCATAAAAAAAAAAGTGACAGTCACAAGCATTTTTAAGGAACTCTTTTACATGGGACCAGCAGTTGGCATAATGGCTGTGTCACTGGACTCCCATGTAGTTGACCGTGATTCAAGTTCCGGACCCGTTGGCTTAAACTCATGCCAGGCGCATGTGCATGTGTGCCCAAGATCCTGAGAGGAGAATGGAGGAGAAGGGATCGCGACGTGACCATCTCCCTGGGGGTGATTTCTCACTTTCTATCTCTCTGTCTCTCTCTGTCTGTCTGGCAAGCACGCGTGCCCTATAGCAAAATCCTCTTAAAAAAGAATAAAAGAGGGAACCAGCAGTTAGCGCAATGGCTATGTCGCTGGACTCCCACATAGTCAACCACGGTTCGCGTCCCAGACCCAGTGGCTTAAAACTCACGCCGGGCGCATGTGCGTGCGTGTCCAAGATCCCAAGAGGAGAATGGAGAAGGGATTGCGGCGTGACCTTCCCCCCGTGGGGGTGATTTCTCGCTTTCTGTCTCTCTGTCTCTCTCTGTTTGTGCGGGCGACCCCCCCCTATAGTGAAACCCTCTCCAAAAAAAAAAAAAAAAAAAGAAATTCTTTTACATAGTCAGGGCCATTATTGTGTAGGGGGAAAAAGAACCTCTAAATAATAATGTTCTTGTTGAAGATTTCTTTTTCTTTTTTAAGAGGTTTTTTTTTTTTTCTTTTTGCTATAGGGCGTGTGCGCTCACTAGACAGACAGAGAGAGACAGAGAGACAGAAGGCGAGAAATCACCCCCAGGGGGTATGGCCATGCTGCAATCCCTTCTCCTCCATTCTCCTCTCGGGATCTTGGGCACGCATGCACACGCGCCCGGTGTGAGCTTTAAGCCACTGGGTCCAGGAAACGAACCGTGGTCGACTCCGTGGGAGTCCAGCGACATAGCTATTACACTAACTGCTGGTCCCTTGTTGAAGATTTCTTAAAGGTATATTTGGAAATTGCTTTCTAACTATGATAAATATCATGCATATGGCATTTAAAAATATCCCTAGATACATATTAATTTTAAAAGGTAAGTCTGGGCAAACTTTTTATCCCCCAGAACCAATAATCCTGAGAGCCTGAACTAAAAAAACTGATGAGGAAAAATACCCACTCTACAAATGTCCCCAAACCTGTCAGTGAACAGGAGAAAAAAAAAAATTTTAACACATGGAGCTTTCTAAAAGGTTTTCAACAACCTACCCTGGGAGCGCAATTCAAAAATAGACACTGATGTACTAAAACAGATGTTCCGGTGCAGCTGAAAAATTCTGTAAATACAGCCATTTGGAAGGACGGTCCTGGGTGTTATTCCCTGGGTATTTCCCTGGGTACCTGCATCAGCTGTGCAGGCCTCACCTCTGCTGCCGTAATTGTCTCTGTAATTGCCTCCCGAGTAGCAGTCACACCTGCCCTGACGTCTACACGATGAGTCTCTGGATCGTCCATAACCACATCCTCCAGGCTGACTGTCACTCCCGTAGCCCTGGTCCTTACCCTCTCTAGAGTAGCTGTGAGCCCCAAAGGTATCCCCTCTGGGTGTCCGGGCAGACTGGCCTGTATGGTCCACACAGACTTGGCGACTGTCGAGGGGCTCTCCATGCCTGGCTCTCATGGCATCAGAGGCATGCTCTGGGATGGTGAAGGTGATGAAGCCCAAACCCCAGGACCACTGAGTCTCCAGGTCCCTGAGAACAACCACCTCAGAGATAGGCTCAAAGCTGCTGAAGTGGTCCTCCAGCGCCTGCTTGCGGTGTAGAAGCTGAGACCCCACAAAGCGCGTCCCTAACTCAGAGGATATGGTGGTGCATCCGAATCCTGGAAACTAAAAAGCAAAGGAGAAACTGATAGCCATTGCAATTGCTGGAGCAAGGGAGTTAGGGAGCTCAAGAGGTCTGTAGAAATGTCAGTGCAGCCAACGTTTACTCATACCTATGAGGGACATCGGTCATCTGTATATTGCCACCAAATAGGCAAGGCAGAGTTCCCAGAAAGAGAAAGCCTGGTCAGTGGAACAGAGAAATGGTTTGATGTGCCTTGAACTTGGGCGTGCTGGTTGGCTGAGAACTATCAAGGCGGTGGCTTGACTCTGAGCAGACTGCACTCCCATTGTTTCAGCCGTCCGTGATCTGTCCATGGTATTGGATCTGATGTCCTTTTGGTGTCCCTGCTTAGTAAAGTTCTTTTCATTTCTCTTTTCTTCTTTAGAGAGACAAAAATAATGAGAGCGAGAGTGAGAGTGAGAGAGAGAGAGAGAAACCACCCCCCAGGGGGATGGCTACCCACAATCCCTTCTCCAGTATTTTGGGCATGCATGCTCATGTGCCCGGTGAGGTGTATTTTTGTAACAGCCAGGTCCAGGACTTGAACTGTACAGTTAGCCATGTGGGATCCAGCTGCCTTAGCCAGCACACCACAACTGGCCTAATAAAGTTATTTCTTACTTCTCCCATCATAATTCTTTATTTCTCTCTCATGGTCAATCTCAGACCCACTAGTGTCTTCTGGATTCAGTCTCATCCCCTGGACTTGGCTTGCCATGGTCACTCCAGTAACATTTAGCAGCTGGATGACAGACAGTGGAAGTGCTCAGGAAGCCTGAAGACAGTCACAAAAACATAAAATCACTCGGCGAGCCCCCTGCATCCAGTGTCCTCCTTGGCTTAGACCTAACCAGGAGAATAGTCTGATGTCTCTCTCTGTTCCTGCAGTTCTTTGAGTTCCTTTGAGTTTTTGTAGATTCATTCATGGTTGGGGTTCAGTTGAGACATATGGACACATGAGGAGGTCTTATAAGAGGGCTCCAAAGCTGGCTGGCAACTCTATCAGCAGGAGAAGCTGGAAGCCATTGCCATTGTTCGAGACGGGTGAGTTAGGGAGCTCAAGGGTCTGTGGGACTTGAGCGAAGGTTTGCAAAAGGACTGTAGCAGTCATTCTACAGGTGGACACCTTGAGCCACAAAAGGTAAGTGTAAGTAATGAAAGGAGACTAATAATAAAATGTAAATCCTAATCATGGAGCTTAGTTTGAAAGTCTCATGGAGAAACTGCCTAGACCTCCTATCATCTTCCTGCCCATCGATCCTTTGAGTAGCTATCTATTTCTGGAGCGGCATGCATCTGTTACTGTCTCCAGGTTCTGTCTCTCCTGTGGGACTGGTTGTCCAGAGTGTGGAACCCTTAGCATGTTTGCTGGGAATCGTCAGTCCATTAGTATACACCCTAGAGTCTAAGACTAATAACTGTGGTGGAAGTACTTGAGCTGACCTTTTCATGGCTGATGCCTTGAGGCCTCTTTAGTATACCTAGCCTAGAGGAATGTGTCTGATACTGTCGCAAAGTGTAGCAGGTGGCTGTGGACTTGACATTAGCTGCAGCCATAGTCGACACCATGAGAATGTCACACAGGAAAGTCTGCTGGAGGAGTTCATCGGAGCCTCCCAGGTCTTCCTATGGAGAGAGTTTGAGGGTTTGTCACGAACATTGCATTATCTTTAGGACAAAAGACCAAACTTTAGGCCAAGAAAGATTATGCTCTTCTATAAACTTGGAGAGTTTGAAGATGCCATTTGTTTGTTGTACCTTTAGGAACATTAAGGATAGTATGAGCAATAAAGTTTCTGTTTCATCAGAGTCTACAGAGTTCCTTTACTGGCAGCCGTGGTAAAGTGGGTTTCTCTTTCTAGGTGGAGAGAACAGTGGTGCGGCAGTCAAATGACACCCTCTGAGGCTGAACCAGAGGAAGGTTCCTGGTTTGCATGTGGAGAACGCCCTCAGTATGTCAGGGTTGGTGCATGTCCATGATCTGGGGCCAGCTGAAGCCAGAGGTGGGTGGAAGTATCAAGACCCTGTGTTGTCTCTCCCTCTCTCGCTGTTCCTCTGTCTTGTTCATGGAAGAAATACACAAGCTAAAATCAAACAAACAAACAAACCCACAAGTTTGTATTAGTTAAAACATTATCTTTTTTTGGGGGGGGGAAGAATTATTTTATTTAACTTTATTTATTTACTTATTTTTATTTGATCAGAGAGGAACAGAGTGAGAGCAAGAGCAAGAGCGAAAGAGAGAGAGAGAGAGAAAGCAAGAAAGCCAGCTGCCAGGTCTGGGACTCCAACCCAGTCTGCCATGTGGGAGTCCAGCGCTCTTAACCACCACGCCACCGGCCGGCCCCAGAGCATTATCTTTCTAGAAGAAGAAACCTTTTGTCCCAACCAGAAAAATTGCAGGCCAAAATGTATTTAATGCTTTGTCATTTGGGCAATAGAATAAATCTATCTGTAAATGTTCAAATGATTCTTGGTAGGATTCGGAGCCTCGCCCTACCTTTGCCGTCATTCCAGATTTTGGTACTGAGAGATAAAGGAAGTTTCAGTTACCTGTTGAGCCTCAGGTAGAATTTCCCCACCCATATTTTTGTGTTTAGGACCAGTTCTTCCTTAGCATGATAAATGCTTTCATGTCACAAACATAACAAAGGTTTGGGGATGTACTTGGGCGCCACCAAATGGCCATCTGGGGAAGTCCAGAACTCAAAGCGCTGCTTGATCACTTGCCAGTAACTGTCTTTTCTCTTCCCTAGGGGCAGATCACTGTATCTGAGTAAGTCCTTCTGGACTGATGACACCGTATTAAGGAACTCACCCTAAAATAACAACGGTGGGGCCCGGCAGGTGGCATGGTGGTTAAGAGCACTGCACTCCCACATGGCCAACCGTGATTAGAGTCCTAGACCTGGCGACTCGCTTTCTCACTTTCCATCTCTCGTTCTCTCTCTCTCGCTCTCACACTCTGTCCCTCGCTGGTTAAATTTAAATAAATAAATAAATAAATAAATAAAGTGAAATAAAATAACTCTTGAACCTCCGCCCCAAACAACTGTGGAGCTATCAGTAAGGGCTGTTGCTTTCCATGGTAGATACATAGGCATTTCTTTTAGCTTCAGAATTATGATTTTTGTATATGCTCAACTTTTTAAAAAGTTTTCCAGAAAGTGCATGTCCTCACCAGAGAGACGGAGAGAGAGGGAGAAAGCAGACCCCATGGGGCATGACCAGGCTGCAATTCTTCTTCTTCATCTCCCCCTTCCTATTGGATTTTGGGCATGCACACACATTCACCCGGTGTGTTTCTCTAGCTCTGGGTCCAGGACTTGAACCATGTGGCTGGCCATGTGAGATCCAGCTCCCTTAACCACCAGACCACCATCCAGCCCTATGCTCAAACAGGCACACATATATATAATTTGTTTTGTTTTGTTTTTGCTATAGGGCACATACACTCATCAGAAAGAGAGAGAGGGAAAGTAAGAAATCACCCACCCCTGGGGATGGCCACGCCACAATCCCCCCTCCTCCTGGGATTCTGGGCATACATGCACACGTGCCAGGAGTGATAAGCCACCAGGTCCAGGACTGAAACTGCGCAGTTGGTCATGTGGGATCCAGCACCTTAACCCCCATGCCACCTGCTGGCCTTAATTTCTTAACTCTTTAACAAGGTGGCATGCTTTTGTCAAAAAGTAGAGAGTTCAGGGGCCAGACCCTGGCCCAGGGGCAGCCGATGCTCTTCGATGCTGCTCCCATGAGGGAAGGTGCAAGCTTTGTGGCCTAGAACAAGCTTGTGCACACGGGGTATGCATGCAAGTCTGCCATCCAGGCTGGTCGTGGCTGAGGGCGGGTCATGGTGTGATGACCCCGTTGCATGCACCTGTCTCTCTTTCTTGCTGTTGTGAAATAAATGGATAAACCATTCTAGAAAAATGGTCTTTTAAAAGAAAAGAGGCAAAGAAATTATAACTTGTACAGCACGAACTGTCTTTGGATTGTTTTTAAGATAAGTGTCATGAAAGACCAGCACTTAGCGTAATGGCTATGTTGCTGGACTCCCATGTAGTCGACCACGGTTTGAGTCCCAGACCCGGTGGCTTAAACTCACACCAGGCACATGTGTGTGCTTGCCCAAGATCCTGAGAGGAGAATGGAGGAGAAGGGATTGTGGCATGGCCAACCCCTAGAGGGCGATTTCTTGCTTTCTGTTTCTGTCTTTCTGGTGAGCACACCCAGCCTATAGCAAAAAAAAAAAAGTTAAGTGTCATGAAAAACAAATATGGACATTGGCCAAGGGCGTACCTGTGAGGACGGGGAGTGGCTGGGTGTCCTTACGCTGAAGTGGGGCTTCACAATTTCATGGGGAGCCACCAGTGGAAAATGTCACCCGTGAAACGCAGCTCACTATCTCGTGCTGTTCTGACGGGCCGTGAGTGGAAACGGAGCTGAAGGATGTCAGCCCAGGCGTCAACACATGCGACTGCCTCTGCCTCCTTCCAGCAAGAAGCAAGGCGGGTCACCTAGCTGAGGCAGGCAGTAGCCTGGGAGGAGCTTTTAGATTTTGTTTAAGCATCTTTAAAGTACAGCTTGCCT